GGCTATATGTATACACACACACACATATATGAACACACAAAAAATACACCTGTATACACACACATACATTTTATATGCCATATATATATATATATATATTTTTTTTTTTTTTTTTGAGACAGAGTCTCACTTTGTTGCCCTCAGTAGAGTACTGTGGTATCCCAGCTCACAGCAACCTCCAACTCCTGGGCTTAGGCGATTCTCTTGCCTCAGCCTCCCAAGTATCTGGGACCACAGGCACCCACCACAGCACCTGGCTATTTTTTGTTGCAGTTTGGCCAGGGCTGGATTTGAACCTACCACCTTTGGTATATGGGGCCAGCACCCTACTCACTAAGCCACAGGCACCATCCTATATATGCTTTCTTTAAGCAGACTTAATTTTTTAAAAATTACATGCAGAATTTATTCATTTTAGTATAAATGATGGAATAGCCTAACACACAATCTATAGAATTAGGTAATGGGATAACATAGAAATAATTAATCCTGCTTTAAAGTTTAATATTAAAAACTCAGAAACATACCTGTTTGTGAAAATATTAAAAATCTGTTCATTTAAATTAGTAATTAATTTGTACATCATGTAAACAGAACGTTTATATACACCAAAAGACTTATAGACCTTTCAACTTATAAACCAAAAGTTTAGTTTATTACATCTCAAACAAGAAGCAGTATAATTAATCAAAGCTTGCACCTAAACTATCGACACAGTTTCACCATCTTAAGAGTAGCTTATTTATGCCAGCAGCAAAGAAGCCTAGAGATCAAAGCACAGGAGGTTGTTTCCACAGCTTGTTGAGAATTGACTATTATTTCTCCCAAGAAGTGGTCCAGAGCTTGGAAGGAATGGTAGTCAGTTGGTGTAAGTTCTGGTGAATATGGTGGATAACAGAGTTTCCAAATCCAGCTTCTGTAGTAAACTGAGCAGCGTTGTCTTGCAAGCAGATTAGCCTGTCCCTATTGACCAGTCTGCTGCTTCATCCCAAGCATCCTCATCGTGTTGTCTATTTGGTTGCAGTAGACATCAGCTGTAATTGATTGACCAGGTTTCATGAAGCAGTCGTGGACGATACCAGCACTACGCCACCAAGCAGACATCATTAGCTTTTCTTTCTCCTTTCCTTTCCTTTCCTTTCCTTTCCTTTCCTTTCCTTTCCTTTCCTTTCCTTTCCTTTCCTTTCCTTTCCTTTCCTTTCCTTTCCTTT